CAGCTGGAGCAGGAGGTTTTGAAGCTGGAGAGGCATCTGGCCACTGGCCCTGATGATCCACCCCATTGTGAAGCATACTGGGAGAAGCAAGAGGAGCTGTAGGCCCTAGAGGATCACCCAGCCTAGGGCACTTTTGTTTGATCCTGCATCTGTCTCCTCCGGGAGATATATCGTGGTTCCCACTTCTTCTATGCCCTGGAGAAAGAGGGTGGCCAAAAGCACATCACTTGCCTCTTGACAAAGGATGGCACTCCCCTCACAGATCTGGAGGAGATGCATGGAAGAGCCAGGACCTTCTACACTAGCCTCTTCTCCCCAGATCCAAACAACATCAACACCTGCAGGGTGCTCTGGATGGAACTTGCAATGCTCAGTGTGAGTGCCTGGGCCTGGCTGGAGCTGCCTCTTACTCTGGCCAAGTTCTTGGAATTCCTTCATCTCATGCCCACCAACAAAACTCTAGACATGGACAGGCTGACCTTGGAGTTCTACCGCGTATTCTGGGACATCCTCAGCCCAGACCTTGTCACCATGTGGGACAAGTCCTTGGAGAGATGGGTCCTCCCTCTGTCATGCAGGTGAAGCCAGTAGCCTACTCCAGTCAGGTTGCCATGTGCTCCATCAATGAGGTGAGGGTGGAAAATATGGGGCACAAACTGCTCTCAGTCAGCCTTCCTCTCTTCTCTCTCAGCAACCTGATCCAGGCACTCCACCTCGACCTCCTGCATGAGTCCATATGCAGTCCATTTGCTCCCTCATGAGCTCATCGCTGGTGCACTTTCACCTGTGGATCTCAGCCAGGTGGCAGACTCAGTGGGAGGTGGGGACTGTATCCAGCTCGCAGATGGCCCAGCTGTAAAGTAATGTTACAAGGACAGACATCACAAGAGAGACCGTGGGAAGCCTACCCCATATCTCTGAGGATATGTCTACACTACAAAGTTAATTTGAAATAACAGCCGTTATTTCGAATTAACTTTAATAGCGACTACACAGCCAAACCGCTATTTCAAAATTAATTTGAAATAGTGGAGCACTTATTTCGAATTAGGTAAACCCCATTCTATGAGGAATAACACCAAATTCGAAATACCTAATTCAAAATAAGTGCTGTGTAGACACTTATTTCGAATTAGGGGGCCTCCAGCCCTTCCCAGTTTCCCCTGGTGGCCACTCTGGGCCAAACCAGGAAAACTCCTCTCCTCTCCCCCAGCCCCGGGGCCCTTAAAGGGGTAGACTCTGGCAGCAGCCGCAGCCCCTCAGCCAGTGGCCACACAATGGCAGCCAGCCGTCCCCTGCCCAGTCCCCCAGCACCCAGGGGCCGTAGACAGCGTGAGCCCTCATGGACTAGTGTGGAGATCATGGACCTCCTTGAGGTTTGGGGGGAGGCCCCAACGTCCATGATCTCTGCACTAGGCCACAGGCGCACCCAGGAGCAGGTGTGCTTGAAAGTGAAGGAGTTGCGGCAGGCATACGCCAGGGCCACCAGGGGTGGCACCGCAGCAGGGGCTGCCACCTGCCCCTACTTCCCCACCCTCGACTGAATCCTGGGGGGGCGGGGCGGTCAGGGGCAGCAAGCCGGGAGCTGAGGGCCCTGACCCGGGCACAGCAGAGGGGTCACCACCAGCTGTCCCAGCACCGGAGTCAGCAGGGTCATCCGGGGAGGCCATACCAGGTAAGTGCCAGAACTGTCCCCTACCAAGAGGGGAGGTGGGGAGGGAGACCAGGGGACACGTGCGTGGGCCATGCCTCCCACAGATCATGCAGCCACCTGTGCACATGTGGGCACGTGCCGTGCCACCCTTGGGCAGGTGGCTCCGGCTGCGTGACACCCAGGGGCCATGGCCCAATAGCCAAACGTGTGTGAAGAGACCCGACACACTTCTGACCTCGGGGCGGGACACAGCAGGGTGCCCTCCCTTCACACGCCCCCTCTATACAGGGGCAGGGGACATCTCTCCCCACCCCCAACCTGGCCACACTATACACAGCACAGGGACATGGGTGCGGTCTCGGAGCAGCTCCCACTCCCGGGCAGAGCTGGACATGCCGACCATGGCCTCTGTGCGAGCACATCGGCTCTGATGGTGCAGGGCATGGTCACCCTCACCTTGCGGGGGGGGACTGGGCATCATCCACTGTGTCCCCAGGGACAACTGACCACTTCTCTTCTTTCTCTACAGCCGCACCAGCTCCATGTGCAGGGTGCACCACACCGCCCGGGACATGCTCCCACACCCGCGGCCTCAGCAGGACCACCACCATGCAGCAGGGATACAGAGAACAGCACCTGCAGGCTCTGCGAGCCCAGACCCGGATCATGGAGCAGCAGGTGCAGGACAACCGGGAGTTCCAGCGGGAGCTGCTTCCCCAGGATCATGCCATCTGTCACCATCTGCAGGCCCTGGTGCAGAGCATGCTGCCCTGTGCCGGTCCTGCGCCTGCTGCCCCCCCAGCTACTGTTCCTCCTCCCACTCCTGCCCCCCAACCTCTTCCTCCTCAACCTCCACACCCCCCACGTCAACCTCTGCACCCAGGGACATCGAGGCCACCTCCCCCTCCCCCCCCAGCTACTGTTCCCCCTCCCCCTCCTGCCCCCCAACCTCTTCCTCCTCAACCTCCACACCCCCCACGTCAACCTCTGCACCCAGGGACATCGAGGCCACCTCCCCCGCGGTGCTGGGAGGCAGTTGGCCTGGCGAGACCCCCCACCCCTGAGTGCTGAGCTTCCCCTCCCCCTTCTTCCCCTTGCTTCGCCCTTCCAGCTCCCTCCTCCCAGTTTTCCCCCTCCCCTCTCTCCTGCCCTCTCCTGCCTCCTTTCCCCCATCTCCCCAGAGGTTCATTCCCCCCCGCCCCAGTTGTGTTAAATAAAGACAGTTTCTATTTTTGAAAATACGCATATTTTATTTGACATCAGGAATAGGGGAGGCTAGGGAAGGGCAAATGGAAGGACGAGAGGGAGGAATGGGGCACAAGCCCCCAGTGGGGCAGACCGGGAAGACTGTTAGTGCTCCTCAGGGTGGAAGCTCTCCTGCAGGGCCTTCTGGATCCTGACAGCCCCTCGATGGCCCTCCCAGATGGCAGCCTGCAGACAGTGCAGCCAGGATGCTGGCAACGTGTCCACGAGATGCAGCACAGTCCCTGGGAGCAGCTCTGGTTCCATGTTGTAGAGTGCTGTGGTGTCCCGAGTGAGGGCAAGCAGAGCACTCCGAGACACAAATGCTTTGTAATCCCTCAGCAAGGTAGACCAGCAAGCAGAAAAACCTGAGTACTGTCTTCCAGGATGGGGGGTCGGGTCCCTTTAAGGACAGACCTTGGATAGACTGAGGCAGCAGACAACAGTGCAGCCAAGCTGCTGGCAACGTGTCCACGAGATGCAGCACAGTCCCTGGGAGCAGGTCTGGTTCCATGTTGCAGAGTGCTGTGGTGTCCCGAGTGAGGCCAAGCAGAGCACTCAGAGACACACATGCTTTGCTGTCCCTAAGTGAGGTAGGCAAGCAAGCAGAGAAACCTGACAACTGTCTGTCCAGGATGGGGGGTAGGGTCCCATTAAGCACAGACCTCGGATAGCCTGAGGCAGCAGCCCCACACACTAAGTCCAACCCTAATGCCCTGCCAGCACTGGA